TTTTCATAGTAACTTTATAAAGTAACAATTTAGGGTAATAAATGTGAATCATCCATTTACAGTACAAATTAAAAAGCACTGTCTTGAATGATGTTTTTCTTTTAAATGATGAACTCATTCAGATAAGAGTAATTTTCTTTTGCAAACAATTTTTGGAAGACGAGTATATCAAAAATAAATGCTGTAGCTTAAACTGCTGAGTCTAACCACCAATTGTTTGGCAGACCGAGAATTTACCCAGAAAAAAACATCATCCTAGAACATTTGTGCTATATTGTCTATGCAAATGTTTCTGTGCAGCTGTGTAGTTTTTACAAGGGTATAAAATGCAACCTAATGGTAAAGTCGAGTCTACATTTCTAAGATGTGTTGTTTCTTTGTTTAGCTAAAACTCCACCAAAGTTAGGTTTAATTGGATGCTAATTCTTCTTATCCTTTAGGACTTTTTAAGTCGTGTTCATGGAAAAAAAAAAAAAAAAAAAACTAAATTAAAAATGCAAAGTCATGAAACACTTAACATAGAATGATGACAATCTCTACACACAAAAAAAAAGTTGACTATACTCATGGCTGAGAGTAACAGGCAACAACTGATGACTGAATATAAAAGAAAGAAAAATGATACACAAAAGCATTCTATAAGCGTAGGCATGCCGCCAGACCTGGAACTGTAACCAACACATTGGTGGTTTCGTGGACCGCCAGGTCAGCTCCATCTCTAGCTACCACACGCACCCAATAGGAAGTCCCCGGCTTCAGACCTTTTATAGTATGTGAATGTGTACCATTTACTGACTCCCTTTTCCATTCATCCTCACCTGAAAACGGTGCAGCGCATGTAGAGGGATTAGAATCAGGCAACTTTAAGAATACATGCATGCAAGGATATTCTGGAAGCATGGAAAAGCCTTACTGTTTTCTACAACATATTCCACAAATAATCTCTTTTGATGTCCAAAGTATTCCCAACTGATCACTGGGCCTTCCTCTGATACAGATGTGTTAACTGTTCCAAACACAGGCCCAACAGAAGGCACTGAGCAAACAAACAAACAAAAAAGTGTTCTTATTTGAGTGTCAGATAGAAAAAAATTGAGCATTTATCAATTATGATTATAACAATTTTTATATATAATATTCAAATAATGAATCATAATTTTTTGTATTTATTTGCAAAATAGAACACTACATGATGGCATCATGTGTTTAATCCTTTCAGTGCTTTTTAGTGCAGTTGTTGTTCGTACTTCCAGTATAAAGTAAATAATGGAAAACTGCAATCAAATTACTTATTTCTGCTCATAAACTTGGAAAAAATTAATTGATAATAATGTTACTGTTACACATGAGAAAATAAGGAAAGACATATTTTAATTACTACCTACGCTTTAAGGTCCATATTGATGCATAAGGAGCCTTCAGATATTTTTTTTTATCTTGCACATTTGATTTGTTTAAATAACATATCTTGACATTAAACTTATAGAATAGCCACTATTTCTTTTGAGTCTGTTTTGTAAATTTCCATAAATTTTGATGGGCGTATCTGACAAGAGGCAGAAAGTAAATTTGGTAGTTGATGCAAAAACTTCAAATCCTTATAAAGATTTTAGTACACTGCAATAAGATAAGAGAACTAGGGAGAATAATACCTCACATTGCTTGTTGCTACACCATCTCTGTTTTAGAAAATCCCCATTGTTTGAGGAAACCCAACTGAAATGTAATTCCTTTTAAAGTAAATTGTCACCTGATCAAAACCATCAAACAGCCAGTTATGCAAAGTAAGGTGGCCCTCTAGAGCTTGCTTTTAAATTAAAATTTAAAAAAAGTTTTATTTATCATAATGTCGCTGTAAAATAAAAAAAAACGACTAACTTTTAAGGAGCCTGATATCTGTTATTTCAGGAAAACAGACAAATAAAAGGAATCCAGGATTTTCCTCTCAGACGTAGTCTATCAAGGTTTAAAGATAGATAAGATCTATAAGTTTGGAAGAAAACAAATATTTGCAAGACACTGCATTCTACAGATTGTTTATGTTAGTGTCATTCTTATGACAAAACTTGCAATAAGAGGAAAAATAGATAATAAACAGAAAGAATCCTTCTATAAAAAAACATGATATACAGAATAACCATAAAGTTACCAGCGAAGGTCTATATATTTTTACAGATTGATATTCAAACAAATATTTTATATATATAAATGGCTAAACCAACGTAACAACAAAAATATTGTCACATTTGTTTGAGTGGCTTTTTGAAGCTGTGTTTGCAGCAATCAGTCTAAAGTTAGATATTGGACAGGCAGCTAGGGACATTGGAAGTGCTTGTACCCTTGGGAAGCGGGGGATGCAGAGACTGAGTGACAGGGGAGGATAGGTGAGGGGACTCTGTGGGGCCTGAAAGGACACGGAAAGAGTGAGACAACACACATATTCACTGCATGCAATAAAAGACTACATACAGTACTGAGAGGAAAAGTTTACAGTAGTACCGATCTTAGTAGTTTAGAAATCATTCAAACTCTGATACAATATAGTATCCTAACCAAAACTACACCTGTGGTCCATTTCAATAAGCAACTTTAACGAACTTGCTCTAGCCTAAGTTTGGAAACTCTGAGTTTTTAGTTACATAAAAACTCTAAGTAGATCAACTCAGACTTGAACATGTGCGTAACAAGTATGAAAAGCCGTTATCAGTCGAGGGCCGATTCGACAAGTCACCATGACGACATACAAAAGGAAGTGCCTATGTCACCAAAGTGGAACTAGAGATTTTAATGCAGGAATGAAAGAAATAAATTGAAAATTTGTTTAAAAGATAGAGAAACAGTGCTATAGCTGCATAGGATTGGAAGATTGTGAAGAAGATTGTTGCTCTAGTTAATGCATACTTTTATATGTAGTCTGGTATGGCAGGCCGATTAAACATTTATTAAAAGCACTCTCCTCTCTTATGTTCCATTTGTAGCTCACTTAAATAGGATTCATCCTGGTCAACATCACACTCCTAGTCAGAACAGTGATAACAGATTTTCTAAAATACATTTTTGCAGCAGAAACTGAATTTCCGAAAGTAAGGAAACAAAATTGTATTAGTAAGAATTAAACTTAATATACCTACAAACATTTACACATTTTAGGTGGTCATTTTGACATTTATCAGCTTCACTGAATATATATTCATGATATCAGAAATACATTTTAAGTCAAACAAATACAAATCAGAATGGTGTGCCACAGCCTGTTGTAACCACGATAACATTACAGGGGAAACTAGTTTACAGCCTAATTGGTAGAGGATCAATCTATTTAGGTGAAATCACCTTTCAGCAGGTGAAGATAAAGTATAAAAATGTTCAAACAGGTAGGACTGTTTGCAGCCATTTCGGATGTCATCATCCCAATAAATTGCCATTATTAGCGGTTATCAGTCCTATAGAATGGCTTCAGAACTGTGCCTTATCCCCCCCTGTAAGCTCAGTACGCTGGTATCCCTGAATGAATCTTAACCCTAAAGCAATTGATTTTTTCCCCGTAATTAATTGATCTATTTATGTCTAATCAGTAAATAATTTTTGTAGTTTTTCACGACCAGTAAAAAAAAAGATCTCATATTAGACAAACCAAAAACAAATAAATCTCCTATCCTGTCAACTGAGTTGTCAAAGAACCATGTCCCTATAAATGGTTATTTATCTGTAAATCAATGGAATCATTCTTTAATAGGATCCTCGTCAAAAGGACATGCAATTTGTTTTTAAAACCTAATATCTCTTATGGATCTAGTGGATTCAGAGTTTCCTTGATTTCATTAAATCTGCTTTTTGAAATGGTCCCCAGATCTAAAAAACAACAATTCATACACCCAAACAAGCTGAGTCCAAAATCTTGCATTATGGGGCAGATTATGGAAAAAGAAGCTCTAGCATTTAACAAGGTGAATAAACTATATTGTAAAGCCAGATTATAGAGATGAAGACAGCAACATAGTAACAAGGTAGTGTGATATAGGTGGAATATACAGCATAAACATTTTTTTTCCCTTAATAAGATATTAAATAAGGCTTAAATATTTCCTATTCCAGGTCAGCAAAGATCACCAAAATCCTTTTTAGTATACCATCACTGTAAAACCCTTTCTAAAGGGTCCAGTAATGTCTGAGAGGTTGATTTACAAGATCTGAGTTAATTGGAGTCTGGCCTATAGGTGTATTTGAAAGTAACACCTTAAATATTGTGGGGAATTTAAAAGACATCAGCAAACAAATCAGGAAGGGAACTGTGAACTGAAACAAGTCTGTTTTATCCTTGCCTACTGTTTCCAAATTATTGAAGTACAATCTCCATATCTTAACACAGTTATGTGCAGCATAAACACCATGGAAATACCTAGATATCACACCCATCCTGATCTCATCTCAGGAATGCACATGCCTTTCATGTGAAATGTTCATATAAAGGAGACAAAGATAGCAAATCCCTGTTAACATAGTGGCTAAGGCCTCCAATAGACTGTCATTACACTATGAAAAGATTGTACACCAACAGAGGCTAAGAGACCATTAATCAAGGAGTTAGCAAGCACTAAAGGATTAACGCTTAAAAAAACTTTAAAAATCTGGTCGTACTTTCCAAATATGCACAGGGGAAAATACCCTAATTTTTGAGGCATGAATATCCTTTGCGTCCATTTAATCAACCACTTTTTAGGCTTGCTTATCGTTGCAGGGCTTTTAGCAGATAAGGTGAAGGAAGCAGTTAGACCTGGAGAAAACCCTTGCATGCATGTGGAAAAGATGCAAAAACAACAAAGACCAGGATCTTAATGTAGCAAGGAAACAGTGCTAAACACTGCTCCACCTTGCCGTACCATCATTACAATGGGAGGAAACTAAGAAACACCATCCCAACTGTGAAGTTCGGAGTTGGTAGCATTATGTTGTCTGGGTGTTTCTTAACCTGTGGAAATTAGGTTTTTCTTTAAAAAGACAGATTTTGAGCTAAACAGGTAATGTAGAAATACTGAAGCCCCATCTCCAGATATCAACCAGCAAGTTAAAGCTTGAACATACCTAGAACTTCTCAATTCACTTCAATTGAGTTTATTTTATAACACAAGTCATCTCAAGGCACTTCACAGATTCAATTCGACCAGATCATATAGTCATTTTGATTCAAAGTTTTCAACCTAAGGAAAACCAGTTAAATGCATCGACTAATTGACGCGAGGGCACCAAGCATGCTTGTAGCAACAGTGGAGAGGAAAAACTCCTTTTTAACAAAAAGAAACCTCCAGCAGAACCAGGCTTAGTGTGAGCGGCTATCTGCCCAGGCAGACTGGGGTTCAAGAAGACAGAAGCAGACTTCTAAATGGACAATACCCTTCAGGTATACTGTCAAATTATTCTCTTAAGGACAAAAAAGCCATTGCAGTGTTTTGAAGAGGAAACCCCTGATCTCAGTCTTACAGTGAATCAGTAAGATGAAAATGTCTGTGTGAATCATGCATTCTTCAAACCTGACTCTGTCACACTATTTCTGTAGGGATAAATGACCGAATGGTTGAATGTCCAATGGAAATTTGAAAGGATACCCAAAACGAAAGAAAAATGCTAAGGAAGAGTATATTAAGTTCCAAATTTAGAGAAGATTAATGCATTTTATTTTTTTTACAGTATGTGCCAATATGTTGAAAATAATTTTGGTAATCATAAATGACCTAAGACAGGAAACCAATAGCCTCAAAAAGTGAGAAACAAAGGGTTATGTGCCAGTTAAACTAGAGTATAGAAATATCCATAAAAATATATTTAAAATTCAAGGCTTTGTATTAAAAAGAATAGCATGCAAACATGTCTAGAGGTACAGTACAGGTTTTACCTTTCCCTGGTTGTACAGGAGGCTGAATAAGAGCTTTAAAGAGAAAAGGAAAGATAAAGACAGAGGGGCTGTAAGGCATTCAGTGAGGAAAATAGCAGACCCTCCTCATGTAAATCATTATTCTAACGAAACCTTTTATATCTCCTACACCATTTCAGTTTTAATCCTTGATAACTTTGCTTTAGAGCTGGTGATGTAAGACAGTGTGCTTTTCTTTCTACTTGGATTTTGGCTTGAATTCCTTTAATATATGTATGGGAAAGTACCAGTTTAAAACTTAACAGACATACCTGTATCTATTGCTGTGTATGCCTCTTTTGTGATATTGGGACCAGGGCCTTTTCTTGTTTCGGCGTTCAAGTAAAACTTGTAAAGCATGCTGGCATTAAGGCTGTCCAAGGTGATGGTAGTCACGTTGGCTGGAAAGAACTTTTTCTTGGCTGGCCCCAGTTCATTTGTGGTATTGACTGTTGGGAAAGCAGTTCATCAGCAATAGTGACGTAGAAGGGTTGCTTGGACAAAGAAGCTTGATCGGTTCCCCCTACCTGGATGGTATATAAGGGTGTATCCTGTAAGGTGTCCATTGTTGCTCAATGGGGGGCCCCATTTTAGTGTGAGAGTATCCAAGCCATGGTCCATCGTATTTAGAAAAGAAGGTGGACCTGGTACTAAAATACGAAGCAAACCACAGAGTAAACTTTGTTAAAACAGAGCCTATAACCTATTGAGTGTATATGTGAAATTTAAAAAAATACCTCACAGACCTAAATAATATAATTAGTTTAATCTAATGAGAGTTTTGTCATCATCATCAATGCCTACAAATTACCTACAAAGCTACCTCCCCTGGTAAAATCGTGGACATTATTGTCTTTGCTTCAGAATACTATTATTTGTCCAGATGAGCTGATTTCATTAAACAAAAATGTAATTTTGAGCTGACAAAGACGTAATATTCGATTTCCAGTGTCCACATCTTGACTAGAGTCATCGGCATTTTACAATGACTTTCTAACCACTTTGCTCTCTCTGTTGTTCTGTCTTGCTAATCTCTATTCATGCAATATGCACAATGACTGCTCTTAATAACTGTGTGTTTGTTCTCTGTGTTTCTTTTTCCAATAGAAAGTGCTCCTAAGTGAACAATTTTCTGTTTTGTATCTTTATCTCCTTCCTGCCTCTAAACCCCCATTGGGTTACGCCAGAGGGCTGTTTATCGAGGAGTGGTGTGCTGCATGCAATAATTGAAGGGCCTGTATAATGTTATATGATCAACTACAGTTTTGTTAAGAGGAATCAGAATCAGTTATGCACAAATTTGTGTTGGCTAGTCAGACTACTGGATATTCATATTCTTGATTGTCAGTTTTTGCTTGTTGGTAGATAAAAGTTCTTCATGCATAGTTTAAACTCTGCTAATATTTAAAAAAAAATGTTGAGCACATATGGAAAAACGTCAGGTCTACAGCAAGGAATCATTTGTTGCCAAACTGTTTAACTTAATGCAGATGTAAATATATATATATATAATTGTCTTACACATTAGGGGAAGGCTGGCATTAACTGGCATCAAGCAGGTATACAAAACGCAACCATAGGGGATTAATGATAAACATTTGGCTGTTTAAACACACCTCCTTCCGGGGTTTCAAAAGTCTTGTTGGGGCTGGGAGGCCCTTCTCCTTTGTTATTAACGACCGTGACAAATACGTTGTAAACGCTGTAAGGCTGAAGGTCTGGCAGCATTGCCTCGGTACGGTTCCCACTGAAAGTTAAAACTTGCTCCTGTTGTTCGGCCTCCTCCTGCGAGTCGTGCTGGCCACGCACTCGTCTGTAGTACACCTACAAAAATGAAACAAAAGCATAAAATTTAAGATACTCGAACATGTAACCAACATATGGAGCTGTTTAAATTCAATATCTAGAATACAAAATACTTTTATTTTGTTTGGATGTACAGTAGCTATACAATACTGTTTGAATGATTTCTAAAATTCATAGAGAATTAGGTATATGATACATGGACTATAAAGTCAAGGTTTCTTGACTGAAGAAATTACTCAGATGTGCTTTGTGAGAATAAATAAATTCATACTCTGTATCCTTTTAGCTCCCCTCGAATAGAGGGATTCGATACTGGGTCCCACTGCACTTCTGCCAGTGTGCTGTTGGGAACAGTGACCTTGACACCATCAGGAGGAGACAACGGCACTGCCAAGAGGACAAAAAGTTAATCGTGAGCATGTAGTGATATATTATTTAACCTTGATTTAACCAGGAAATCACCAACAAGATCTCCTTTAAGGAGACTGTAATATGAATTTGGATGTGTTACTTTGTCTACGAGAACTATAAAAAAGGCATCAGACATTTTTAACTATGTTATAATCTTTTTGCTTTTATAGATTCAAAACAATTTGTTAAAAGTGGTGACATAATAAACTCACAGTCTTCTCCAGAGAAGCCAGTGACCACAGCAGGCTCAGGACCATTTCCATAGTCATTAAAAGCCTGAACTTTAATTTCATAGGGCACATAGGTTGGAGTTTGAGTAACAGTCAGTTGGGAATTGTTTCCAACATTCATTGAGGTCCAGTCATCTTCCACGTCCTTTTGCCTCCACATAACCTTGTACTCCAGTCCAGGCCCGTTGGACTGAAATCCTGTGAGAGGCTACACAGAAAGTATGTCATTTCTTGCTGAAAAATTAAGGTAATTTATATCTTCAAATTCAACTAAACTATCTTCCTTACCTTCCACGAGATAACCAAGTTGCCAGGCTCTGTTCCTACTCCTTTCACATTTGTTGGATTTTCATCTGGAGCTGAGGAAAATCAAATATTCATGGATCACTTTGTAGATCTGGAGATCTTTAACATGAAGTAATCAAGTTATTGAGTGTCTTTATTACCTGAAGGGTTGGTTCTGTATTGAGCTGAGGGGATACTAGGGTCGCTGTAGCCTACATCATTTTGAGCGCGCACTCTGAACATATAGTAGACGTATGGAGAGAGCTGCAGCTGGGCAGTGGTACTGGTACCAGGAACTTCTGTAAGGTTGACCCAAACACCTGGCTGGTGGAGCATATCCATGTACTCAATCAGAAAGTCTGGAGAAACAAACAAAATGTTATGGAGACCAATTGGAATGCAAGGATTCTAATATGGCCTAATAAACATCTCTGCATTTCATTTCTAAGACTCACATTACCATCCAAGCATCCATAGCCTCTCTTGGATCCATTTGATATCATGCTATTCCAAACTGCCTTTACATTTTTGGACTAGTCTAAAAATTCTGTGGCCTGAATTCATTGTCTATCTCATTCTACCCTATTAACAGACCTTTGCATTGGTAATGGTGCCCTCACCTCAGTATGTCATATGCTTGAAATGATTAGAAAAGCAGGGTAGCTGGAATTATTTGGGATTGATTCAGCAACTTTTTCGACTCAGTCATATACTGTTTCTAGAAACTGTATATTTCAGCTTAAAATGATCAGGTGATAATTACAAATTGAAAAACCATGTAAAAAAACAAGACTGTCCCAGTGAGTAAACTGATATTTGTAGATATCAAAACATTTGTGGCAACAAAAGAAAAAGTCACAATTAAGATGGGGAATCTATAGTTGTGATTTGTTATCAGTTCAAATCTGATATCTACAAAGTAGTTGGATGACTGTGTAAAAATCAAACAAAGTAATAAAAAACATTAAGTATTTCTTACTCTGTATTGGACTGTTGTTTTCATCTCCTGGGATCCAGGTGAGTCGAACACTTCTCTCCATCTGGTCAGTGAGTTCCAGGTCAGTTGGAGGGTCCGGTTTCTCTGCAAAATCAATCAGAGTACTTTTTGACACTGTGTCAACAGACAATGTTTGACGCTTAGATGTGTTGTTTTTTTTGTAGTTACATAGTATAAAGATAATTAAAATTCTGCAGGTCAGTTCTGGTAATATATGTATTTTTTGGGGGTATTAATGAACATTAACTAATCAGTAACACAGCAAGACACGTTTGCAAAGTTTCCAGTGAAGAAAATCGGCAGCATTATGCATTATTATCTCTATGCATGGGATCCTGCATAGGGGTTTTCACTTCTAGCTGTTTCAACCTGAATGCTGGGGTGAAGTAAAAGAAATATAAACATATCAATCAATAAGACCTGTACACACAGTCACACACAAAGGTCTGACAAGACAGGGACAATAGATGAAATCAGCTGCGTAGGAGGACTGTTGATATGTGCTAATTATATATACATAAATCAGAAAAAATTACCATTGAAACTATATTTGTTACATACAAAAGCATTGACTGAATAGACAGAAGGCAGGCTACATGTTTACCTAAAACAATTGTTGGAGTAGGAGTTGCCTCTGACAGCAAGAAGAAAGAGAAGAATGAAAGAAAAGAATAAGATGTTAGTGTTAGATATTTATGAAATGCAAGAAAAGGTAAGAAAAACACTAAAGGAGGATTACATTATTACAGTAGGAAAGAAAATCTAGAAGGAATTAAAAACACATTTAGCAGAGACAAAGGAAGAGGAGAGCCATTTAAAGTAGTCATGCTTTAATTAAAATTCTAATTCATAATGCTTGGTTGTTCTGGCATAAAGAGAGTCCTTGCAGGTTTTGGCCATATTGGGATGTCCAATCCCAAATAACATGACACCTAATAAGTAAAACACATTAATAACAAACATAATCAATTATATTAACCTTTTTATACAGCAAATTACAGTTTTTGATCACTTACAAATGGCGTCCCCCCCATCCCTCAGTGCGGTATAGATTTATATCCAGCCATTCAGCAAAGATACTGCTACATGTCTGTACATGTTATTTTTGTATTTGAACTTAACTTAAAAGTTTAAGTTAAGAAAAAAAGGTAAAAGGCTAATTAAAAAGTTAAAAAGCAACTCTGGGTTAATGTGAGTGTTTTCATGAACTTCTTATAGAACCACTTTTTTTTTATTTATCTTAATATATTAGGGCAAGTGGCCATTTGTTGTTATTACCTGTATCCAAATATTTGCCACCAAAATACACATATTTTTTTGAATGTTACAAAAGTAATAAGGTATTGTTCTCCAATAACACTACAGACTTGAAATTTAGATTTTCAAAGTATTTCAATGAGTGCCCTATAAAGGGTTAATAATTAAATAAAACTGTCTTTTTTTATTTCTTCACCTACTTGAGTCACCCTCAAAGTCCTGCTGCCTGGGGTGGTGACCTGTTTCACCTTTATCAAATATCATTGCTGCTTAACCTTTTTTAAACAATTTATTCTCACAGAAAGACTAAATCAATTGAATATAAATTTAGATTAACGCATCAAAGGATGACATGTTTAATGTCGCCATATGTCAACCCACCGACAACAGTCAGCATCGCACTTGCAGAGTCCTGATCCAGAATGGTGTTTGTGATGCAGGTATAAGTCCCTGCATCTTCTTCTGTCACATCTCTAATGGTCAGGCTCTCATCGTCCACCTCAAACCTGCGTGTGTCACCAAAAAAACACAAATTTTAGTTTTTCTTGACAGGATACAGATCGAAAGTTCATACTGTACTAGTGATCACTGTCGGTTTATCTACAAGTCTGCTGTACCTCTGATCGTCTGGCAGTTCTCCATTATCTTTTAGCCAACTGATGTTGATAATAAGAGAGCTATCATGTTTGACTTTACACTCAAACAGAGCGCTCATTCCTCTCTGAACCACTCTGTACTTCGGCTGCGTGAGGATCCGAGTCGGCTCTGGAATATTAGAAATATTTAGGTTTACAGCAAGAAATGATTAAGTTTAATTAAAATAATATAATCTTAAACTATTTTCTAATTGGCAGTGAGGTGTTATTGACCTTTTACTTCCAGAAAGACATGATTTTCTTTGAAGCCCAGGTTATTGGTGGCAGTGCAGGTGTACTTTCCACTGTGCATCGGCTGAGCCATGTTTATCTCCAGAGTACCATTCTCATGGATCACATATGGGTCACTGTTTTTAATGTTGGTCTGGCCGTCTTTAAACCTAGAAAAATCAAAAAGGACATATGTAATCTTGTCATTTTAATAGAGTAGAATACAATAGAATACAAATAACTGTGATTATACCCTTGTGGGAAAATAATATGTCTCAGCAACAGGGTGAAATCCAAATGGAAGCATGAACTTACGCAACAGGGTAAAAACTAAACAAAAATTTTGCAAAGGTATTCTATCTTTTAGTTTAATATTTTTGCATGTATTTATATCAACCCCCCTCTATTCAAGTGTAAGCTTGCACTTACTAAACATTTACTAAAAATAGCCCCAACAAATCATCTTTTCCTTCCAAGAAGATATGATGGAGACATGGCAAACAAGTGGAACATGTTGCTCTGGTATGGAGTTATTTTGTGCTTTTATTAAGTTCAAGAAAAAAAGCTATCTGAAAGGGGAAAATAATTTTAACATTCGAATAAATGTATTAGAGAAGACACATTTTCACCTTGATAGCAAAAACGGATGTAATTTTAGACTGAAAAAAGTTTTTAAAGGAAAATACACACAATGTCGCCATCTCGTTCAGTTGCTGACACGTGGAAGCTCTCTTCCAAATTCAAGGGGAGGCGCTGTTCAACCCAAACACATCTAATATCACCCCTTAGCTGTCAGTTCTGTTGAGACTGGCCAATAGGAACACAGGCCGGCCAAGGAAAGAAATCGAGAGCAAAGGCTACGGTTTTCAGAAAGAGAAGAAAAAATAAAATAAGAAATTAATAATATTTCTCGTGGAAATCATTTTCTAAATGTCAATTTATCTTTTATTTATTAAATAACAAAATATTTTCTCTTTTTTATTCAGTCTCAAATAACATCTGTTTGTGCTATCAGTGGGAATTTTTTTCCTATCCAATATATTTATTTTACTTTTCAAATAATTTCCCCCTTTCAGGTAGTTTTTTTCTTGAATTTAAAAAAAGGACAAAAATAACTCCATACCCTTATGTTTTTGGCATACAAACAAAAACTCTACATGGTGACACAATCCTAGATAGCTAGCAGTATTGTGCTAAATGGAGATACTCTTATTTTAAAAGAGGAGGAAGCTAGTCAGAGCTGATGAGAAGATGGATGGAGCTTTTTAAAAGGAAATCCCAGAAGAGAATCTGTTATTGGCAGCATAACACACACTTTTGGAGATTCACTTAGCAGAAGCAAAACCACCCATACTGAGCTGGAGCTGTTCCACCAGCTTTGAAAGCAACACTAAGTACTTATGAATCTATTTGCTAACATAGAAACAGTACAGCACAGTAGAAGTTCTGCAAAAATATGGCCACCCTATTAAACTGAAACTAAAACACAGCTCTTTGACCTTTGTGCAAAATAGATGACACTATCAGCATGGTGAAACATGATAGCACTGTAGTGTGGGGATGTTTTATTTCTTCTACAGATGCCGCAAAGAATACCCAAATAATTGTCACGATCTGCCCTGATTTCTGACATTAATTATTCACTTCATCATCCTGCCTAACTCTTCATCGCTCTAATCCTAATAGCCCTAATCATCACTCATCTTATCCACCTGCGTCTGTTGCTTTGTGTATTTGGCTCAGTCCAGTTATCATTGTTTGATGATTGTTTGTCTGTCTGTTTTGTTAGTTTGAGTTAGTCCAAGGTTTGTGCCCCTGTTTCCGGTGGCCAGTGGGTTGAGAGGTTTTTAAGTGTTGGTCTTGTCCACTGATGGTGTCCTGGCTCCTGGGTGGAGTACAGTTTTAAAATCCCATAAGCCTGGCTCCTAGGTGGAGACCAGTTTAAAGTTCTGCAGATTTCTTGGTACCATGTCTTGTCTCTGTCCCTCAATCACTGAGCCTGCCTGTCTGCATCTGTAAGTCTCTGTCTGAGCCTGCTGCTAGACTCATGGAACTCTGAACCTGCTTTTATACTCTGTGGATTCCTGGAATGCTGGATAGTTCTGTTCCTGTGCAGATCAGAACCCTTGACTCGGCTGCGGACTCCTGGATTCCAGAACTGTTCCTGATCTGTTTCCCTGATCTGGATCGGATTGTTGCTTCTGTTTGGCAGTCTATTGGTTGGATCCTGCCTTTTCCTGAGAGGATGGACTGAACTGTTTTAACTCAGAGTATCAGTGATTGGGCGGTGCCCTCCCCTTCAGCCGCGGCAGATCTACAGCTCCGTGTTTCCTGTTGTTTTGATTTACTAAATGTTTTGAATTTTCCCACTGTCTGTCTCACCTTAAATACTAGGTCCCTCTGTCCTATTCGATGACAAAAATATCACTCTCCGTGTATATTTTAGCTAAAGTTACTAACATCCCTAAAAAAAAGGAAGGAAAAGGAAAACCAAGAAAAAGATCAAATTGGAGGTCAATGCCTGGCAAGGAAGTATATTTTTCATGGAATTGGAAGCTCTGGTAACTGGAGCAAAAATGGACTACAAACGCAAACAGGACCTTTCAGATATTTATTTGTAAATACATTTTCAAATCAATGTATCCTTTTCCTTCAACAATATAATAAGGCTTTAATATTTTATGTTTGTTTTTGTGGCTTATTTAAAGAAAAAAAAGTTTAAAAAAATGTAAGGGTGCAACAGCCTTAAGTTGCACTTTATGCCGGCGATATCAACCAAATCTTGGTTTCTTAACTGTGGAGCATGACAATAAAAGAGAGAGTTTGACACAGTCTGGTATTCAGTTCGATCTTAATCATCTTTCTTGCCGTATGCATCCATCAAGTTCAAAGCTAGCTTTTAACTCAAATGACATGTAAAAAATGCTTTATTAGGAAAAAAAAAACCTTTTTAATATAATCTGAATAACTATTGACATTCATTATATATATCTAAACCTGCAAGAGAACGGTTAAATGGAGCAATGACCAACATACATTAGGTCCAGATTCCTACCATGTGATAGCTGGTATTGGCGAGCCAAACGAGGCGCAGTGAAGCAACGCCGGGTTGTTCATGATGACTAGATACACTTTGTTGGCCGGAGTGAGAATTCTTGGTGGTTCAGCTGTTGAGGGCAAGCATAGACTTTTTGAATTTCATTGCACTCATGCAGATCTGCATATTTCAAGATGTAACGGTCAAATGTAGCTTACCCAGAACACTGACAAAAGCATTAGCCAATAAATAACCAAACTCATTAGATGCATTGCACTGGAAGACAGCACTGCTCCCTGACTGTACATTGCTGAGAATGATGGTATCCTCCTCTACCTTTGGACCATTATCTTCATAAAAGTCTGGAATACATAAAAAAGAGGGTACATTTTTCTGGTTTTTGTAGTGTTTATTACCTATTTCAACTGAAAAAGGACTACTGCAAATGTCAATTCAGTATTTTGAAAACCAAACAGTACCTTTACTTATTCACAATTTAAACGTACCTTTAAATGAACGTCCGTTGACAAACCAGTTAATTTTTGGTTTAGGGTTTCCATTAACCCGACAGGTTAAGATGCCGGTCTCATTTGGAGCCAGAATCAAATTTCTTGGAGCACTGATCCAAAAAGGAGCAGCTGGTGAGGGAGATTGAAGATGCACAAAAAAGATTACTTTAAGAAGGCGATTTTTAAATGATTTCTAGATATTACAGGTCTGGGTGTGGCTATTTTAACTTAACAGAACAATACAACAATCATAAGGAGGGCAAAATTCTTTTTTACAAATGGCAAGTTTGGTTTCATTTTCTTTCCACATATAAGTAATTTTTCTTTATTTAATTGATAATACATCTTTGCTCATCTTTACCTTTAACTGTGACTTTAATTATGTGGTGGACAGAGCCCAGCTTGTTAGTGGCTGTACAGCGGTAGTCACCGGCATCATCTTCATTCACATCGATGATCGTCAGTGTTTTTTTGAATTCGTGGAAGCTTGTCCTGCCACTCGGCAGCCTCCCTCCATCCTTCTGCCACATAACTTCTGGAGTGGGTCTGTCACAGAAAACATCAAGATTGGATTTATGAGACCCTGAGCAGGTTGTGTTTTTTTGTTTTTCTGCAACATTAAAGGTATAGTGGAGGATTTTCGCAAATTTCTGAAAAGATCTGCCATCTCCATTTTTAAAGAAAATGTACATGCACAACCCTGCACTAACTCCCGAGAGGGAATGCCTATTAAAAGCGTGCGAGAGCATGCACAAGCCCATTTCTCCTCATGCACGCTCTGTTTAAAAGTTGTTGTTTGCATCGCTCATAAGAGCTTACTTTTCAAAGAAGATTTTTTCCACTTCGTCAGACTCACCACCGTAAGTGAAAACGCATATAGGACTGCTTTACGTAAACATATCATCAGAATGATTGACATTTAGGATGACCACTTATTTTGATGAAAAAGAACATCCTCCACTATACCTTTAACCATAGTATTACTTGAATAAATGCCAGCAAAAGTGCTAATGTACTAATGTCTGATTTATCTTGCATTTACCACTCTGATTGGCCATTGCAATAGATTCCAAAGGTGCATCAAAGGTGTTTGTTGTCTTAATGTGACAAAATGGAATAAAGTTTAAGTTTACAAGGCAGTGTGATAAAAGGCCAACTTACAATCCCTCAGCGATGCATTCCAATTCTAGTGTTTCCCCTCTTAGAACCATCTTGGTGCTCATTTCACCAACAGGCCACATGAAACCAGGGCGGCGCTCTCCTTTAGGGTTGTCTGATAAATCAGGGAAACAAGTTGAAATCAACATTTACAAGAGACGTTTAGAATTTGGAAGTGTGATGTCAGGGTCGATATCTATTGAAAAGGAGAAAGAGGTACTACTTTTCAAATGTGATATATCAGGGTTGGAAGAAATTTAGTAAAAGACAGATACTTGTGTTTTTTTTCTGGTGCATCTATTTATTCACTATGTAACTTGAGTCATGACTGTAGACAGGATAAAATGTTAGTAAGGAAGATCAGAAAAAGGGACTCTTTCATTTATTAAGAGCTGTCCATCTCCTGATATGCAGTTATGGTTTTTATTAATATGATTTGGTACATGCAAAAACTTTGTAGAGAGCTCCTTGTGATTGCAGCTAAAGAATTTTTCTGTTTTGTTTTCGTTTTCACCTAAGGGTATGCCACTCTGGTTGTGTGTCATACTGTCTATGTAAAATAAAAATGAAAAAAAAAAAAAAATAGGAAAAACACACTGCTGATATGAACCATTGTCTTTAGTTTCAATTAACCTTTGGTGAATTAAACTAATTATCTCTTGAGAATACCAACAATATGTAAAAAAAAATCATCAGCATTAATTTGTATCCATCTTGGATAAGAGTAGACATTGTTGTTTAGATTCTACATTTTCACAAAAAAAAAAAAAAAAGATTGGAAAATAAATAACAGGAAGAATTGTTTTTGTTTTAAGTCTTAATGTAACCACAGATGAAGAGATTTGAAGCCAAGTTAAAAGAACAAATCCATACCAAGGGATAGAAAAAAATGGAATAAACCAGCAGCACTCATCACTATAGAAATCAGCGATGAGTGTAAGCAGTCAACACTGATTCTTTGTTTCTTCTGAAATATAACCTCAAATCATATCCATGCAATTCCAGCAAACATTAAATATTTTAAATTGCAGCCATTATGAAATTGAACCATATTTTCAGATTTTTTGCCTAAAACAAATTATATTTGTTTTGCAATTGTGTGATAGAGCAACGTAAAGCCTTAATTACTATTGTGAAATGGAGTGAAAAGTTAAATAGTTTCATTATTTACACTCCAAAGTGTTTCTTGCACATGTAAGCATCTATTTTTTCTTAGTACAATCGATTTCTTTTAAATATTTGTTGCTATGTACTGTTTATTTTCATTTATTCTTGCCTCCTGGCCATGCCATGGTTGTAAATGATAAGTGGTCAGACAGTTTACCCAGTTGAATAAAGGTCAAATAGAAGTAAATTAATAAAATATTTAGCTCTCTGACTCTGACACTCTTAAATAAAACGTTATTTAGTCTTTTAACAATCCCAGCAGGTTTTAAGGAATTTTAAGGGTTTAATATGAAAACTTTCCAAGGTCTATAAAAGATTTTTGAAAGACTGTGTTATACAGAAAGAGTAGCTACGTTCGGTGTTACACAGAAAAAAATACCTTTCCCGTTTAATGTGATCTACAGCTATATAAACAAACATTTATTGCAATAAGTCGTTATAATCAGTTGCAGGGCTATACTTACTGGTGAGTACTGTGACAGAGATGGGATCTTTCTGCTGGATGGTTTGTGTGTGGTAAAAGCGTGCGTAGCAAATATAATTGCTCCGGGTGTCTTCTGGAAGAACATTGGAAAAGTACAGGTCTCCGTTCAAGGCCTGGGTGACTCGATTATCCAGAGGCACTCTCTGGAAATCTGAGGGAAGAATCAGCAAATCAGGCATTATTTATGTCTGTATTTCTACATGAATGCAGCAGTGTTCAAATTCACAGAACTCACTGTGATCCATCCAGAAGATGACAGGAGGAGGCAGGCCTGCAGGGGGTCGACAGTGAAGTACAAGGGGAGACCCCTTCTGCACCTGAATCGCCTCATTTTTTTCCTTTGACCACAAGGGGGACCCTGTGAGTCACAAAACCAAACAATGCATCTATAAGATTTGCAATAATTGCTACAGATATTCAGAATTTTTATTATCTGTCTTACTGGACTGCCTGATGACAATGTTGTTTGTTAGAGCTTTGCCGTGCTCGTTGCTAGCAGTACACTGGTATGTTCCTTCATAAGCCTCGGCCTTTTCTCCACTGATGTCAATCTCTAGCGTTCCTGAATAAGGCTTCATCACGACTTTGGAGTCTGTCTCCACATCGAAGTTTGTCCCATTCCTCGTCCATGAAAAGCTACAGAGTACAAGAGTCATTAATATATCTTTCAGCTGCAACAGGCATGGACAAAAAAACACTCTTAACCATATCTTCGTTCAGTTCCTAAAAAAGCAAAGTAGGTTTATAAAACCCAGAGTTTCAAGAAGCAGTAAGCTTTGTCCCAAGCTGATCATCATAAAACCTACACTTACTGTACCAATAGAGGCTTAAAGATACAAGGTATATATAAAAAAAAACTAGCTTTAGTTTAGTTGCAGACTATTCTTTTGTAGTGAATTAACATTTCAGCATTATAATAATAAGGTTCCACCAGACAAGTGTTCAGGGAAGATATACAGTAGATACTAGGGCTGTGCAATATAGTTGAAAAATTACACAAGTCTTTCCTGTTACTTGATATTAATAAGAATTTAGTTGTTTTTATTTTTTTATTTTTACTTATCTGAAATAAGAATACAGAAATAGTGGAAAGAGGCTGAAATTAAATTGTAACTTAAGTCTAATTTAAATCGAACCTACATAGTTTAAAAAAAAAAAAGAGTTCAGCTCTAATGCCAACCTCAAGAGGCTGAAGCTTTTCCTCTGCTTACATCCCAAAGAATGTGTTCTGGTTCTGCATTACAGTTCAGTGAAATTACTGAACATTTTATTGGATGTATTTTCTACTGATATTAATCATGTGTCTATATATATTGTTAGTGTTTTATTGCTAATCCTTTTCATTCCCTGAAACTCCACCTTCTTACTGTAAGTCTTTTCATCGGTCTTTAATTTAGCAGTATCTATCTTCCAGTTAAGGATGACAACCTTTCCTGTCCGTGATGAAAACAACATTCCAACTATATGATTCTGGCAGAAGGTTAAGTGAGGGAATGGTGTGTTTAGTGTTATATGGAGTGATAGTTTCCTGCCATACAAATGGTTTCGCATGTTGAATGAAAAGTTCACTTTTGGTCTCCTTTGAAAAGAGCACCTCCTTATATGTTAGCTGCAAAACTTTAAAACGTGTGTTTTCTTAAAAATGAGGCTTCATTTAGCTCTCTTTTAACAATAGCTTTCCTTTTCCTATCCTTGCATAAAGGCCAGACATGTTGATGTTTAAAATAAAAGATCTGCAGCATCTTGAGTGTGCTTTAATGTATACTCTGTTAAGATGAGGTAGAAACAATGTCTTGGTAAGTTTGCTGGAATGCCAGAGATTTTCCAATGATGAACCAAATGGTGGAGCTGAAACAATTAATCGGATTAATCGATTGTTGAAATAGTGGAGAAATTATTTAGCAATTGATTAATCTTTAACTGGAGTAAAGAGACTATAAAATATCTCATTAGCTTACAGAGTGACCCACCTTGAGCAGTAATTATACCAAAACTGTAAAAAAAAAAAAAAAGTTAATATTTTGATTTTAAGATTAAAAAAAAAAATTTCGTCTGTCAATATGCTCTATCCAGAAATCCTCAAGTGGAAGAAATTTTGTTTCACCTGGTTTAATTTAGTAAAAAAGGAACCTTTTGCTATCTAATTATCAATCGATTAATCAAAAAATAGTCAACAGATTAATCGATTTGCAAAATAATCTTAAGTTCCAGCCTTTGTGAGTTGTTTACAGCTTTAGATCTTTTATAACCAAAGCCAGCTCCATTGTATCATCTCTGATCTGTCTTAAACCTGTTTTGACTTGGGTACCTCTTTGGGCACTTTGTCTTACCATGAATACCCCCCTCAGTCAAAAGTACTGATAAGTGTCCAAAAGTGTAATGTACAATAACTGATTATGAAATAAAAACTATTTTACTTAAAGGTATAGTGGAGGATTTTCACAATTTTTTTAAAAGACTCGCCCTCTCCACTTAAAAAAAAAAAAAAAAAGCACAGTCACAACACTGTACCTGCTCCCGAGAGGGAACGGCTATTGATTGCATGAAAGAGAATGCAACAGCCTATTTCTCCTCATACATGCTCTGTTTAAAAGTTGCTGTTTGCATCGCCCATAAAAGCTTACTTTGCAAAGGAAGATTTGTAATTTTTCCACTAGGTCAGACTCACCACGGGTAAGTGAAAATAGGCATGAGCATATAGGACGGCCTTACATAAACATATGACCAGAATGATTGACAATTAGGAGGACCACTTATTTTGATGATCCACCCAGGAAAAGAACATCCTCCACTATACCTTTAGTCTTTTAATTTGAGCATTTAATTCTCAGGCGTTTCATGCTTTCCATGTCAATTAAAAATCATAAATATGTTGCCTGGAATTTAGGAAGGAATCTAAATAAATATTATTAACCTGTATTTATAAAACTGGGGCTCCTCTGAGAACTCCCTTATTATCACATTTAAACTTAAGTTGGGCCCAAAATACAGAACAAAAATGATAGTCAGACTGATTAAATTAGTTTTACTTTGATGCTGCTTTGATGAGCTCCGACAGCTCAGTGTGAAAAACAGCTGATACCAGGCTGTTTATCTGCTTTGTTTTAATGTTTTTTAAAGCTGCAGTTAACTCAAACATATAAGAAAAAAAAAATACTTTTTCGGTTTTTGAAAGGATTGTTTAATTTTGGAATTAGGTCCTCACAAAGCAAAATAGATCCCAGTCCTATTTTAATACCTAAAAAATAAAATATTTTCATGTACCCCTTGTAATGCACTCATGGACCAATAGAGGCACCCCGGTTGGGAATCACTGCTCTAGATAACCTATGAGGACTTCATCAAACAGCTGTATTGTCAATAAAACAACACAGAGGTATCCTCTGTGTACTACTGTGTTATTGCACATAAATCCAGGTAATAATTAGAACAGGATAAAGGGTTACAAAGACATAAGCAAAACATGGTGCAAATGAAATAAAGCCTTTGATTAAATTGTAGGTCTTTGCCTGAATCTAACTTATTTGATTCAATGAATGGAGACGCGCTGCAAATCCACTCTTCCGGGTGTGTTCCAGCCAGGTCTCCGAGGCGACGGTTGCTATGGCGATTTATCTCTTTCACTCGCCTCCAGGTTAAGTTGCCCTCAGAAGCAGGGCTGTAATTTACCAGAGAGGAAGCATGGCGGCGGCATTAAATCTTTCATTAAGTGTTTTGGAGTTATCGTCTCACCTGGGATGAGGATTCCCTTTGGCCTCGCACTGTATGACGATTTTGTCCCGGGGATCAAAGATGTAATCCTTTGGGGACTGCAGTGTTATGGTGGGGGGTTGAGGCACTGGATATGAAATGCAGAGCAATGTAATTCATGCATACATCAACAATAAATCCAATGTAGACATGCTTTGACATAAACAAGCAGAATCACTATTCAAGCTTCGTGCATGCCAAGCCAAATTTGTCAGACAGGACTTTAGAAGCAAACAAAGACATACAGTAAGCAGCAACCTCACCCTTAAGCTGATGTCTTACCATTTCCTAACTTAAAATTTACACTTCAAGCAACACTCCAAGCCAAGCAAGGTACTCAGTAGAGTTATGTTGTTGCAAAAAAACTCCATGCACATTGTTACTCAAGCCACACAAAGAGCAAATCAATAAATTTGAAGGGGCAAAACTCCACTCAAGCCAAGGCTATGTCTTAAGCAACTTACATCCTTCCAGTACTTTAGCTTTTTGTCCAATATGGCATGCCATACAACAGCAATAGAATATTGAGGAAAATTGTTAGAACATCTTTTAAACTTGTGCAAGAAAAAAGCAGCAGATAAGGTGAAGGAATATTTTTAGGAATTGATATAGCCAGCTTTCCCACTTTTAACTTGCATTTCTTTTAGGAAGGTGGAATAAATGCAAGAAGAGCTTTTTTTTTTTTTTAAACACCATGATTAAAATCAATGAGTTAACAGCTGATAGCAGGGAAACACCACAAATCATTATCTATACATGAAATTATTGAGAGTGGTACTTACGATCAAGAGGCACTTCAAGTCCTGCAGCCATGTGACTCAGCAGTATCAATAACACACCTTCCAGACCTGGCGCCCATTTTTGTTTTTTATCCATGTTTGTATATCACTGCCACAATGATGTGCGGTCCCCAGGTTTAACAGCAGAGGATGGGCAATCAGTTGGTGAACAAGAAGAAGTGACTCTATAAAGATAAAAAACACAACAGAAATTACTAAAAACAATATTTTATCTGTGTTGTATTTATTGCACTTCAACTTGGCTGCATATTAAGAAAAGTGTAATATCAACTCAAAGGTTGAATTGGAAATTTAAGTTTGGATAAAACTATGACATCTCTAAACATCATAATCAATCACAACCTGCTAATATAGCCAATAAGAAAATTACTTCATATGACTTAATACTATACAGTAAAATGTATAGATGGGTCATATATCAGATCCAACGCTTAAGTGCAACCAAATATTGTTACTGCTACTCATATTAAAAAATTTAGGTTGAGGCAACTGGTTCATATTCCTGTGTTGATCCCTGTGCAACTTGTTAACATTCTACCAACTGATTTAGGGAATATTCAGTCTTTTTTTTTCGAAAAGAGATTAAAAAAAAATAAAAATAAAAAAAAAACTTTCAAAGCACCAGATTTTTTAGAAGTCACTAATGTCCCAATAAAGTCCCTTACCACCCACCACTCTTAAAACAGTTTATAGTCTAGATTTACTATCTTTACAGCTGACAACTATGTATATTTAGGTGTAAAAGGATTGCTATGTCATGTTTTATTTAAGTATTAATCTTGTAAACATAAATACAGTTGAAGAAATGGATAAAGGTCACAGCAGGATAGCAAAAAGGGTCTTTGGTTTACATGTGACGCTACACAAGGATCAACCACAATGCAAAATATTTTGATATGTTAGAAATTTATAGCGATTCTATGAATACAAAAGACTGTAAAACATGCATAAATATTTACATTTTAAAATGAATACATTTCACTTGTGGAGGTTTTGTTAAATCTTAAAGTGACATACGGTAAAACACTATCAACTGCAGTGGCTCTGGTAAAAAGAGACGTCAAAACAAAACTGATTCAACATTCTTTGTCCTGAAAAAGCCTGTCTCCTCTTTCCTGTTATCTAGAAAACTGAGAAACAAAGTCAGAGTAGCTCCTACTTTTCTGTATTTTGTCTACTACTGTTTAAAGCAGACTAAATCTTTCATCTTTACAGCAGGTGATTAAATGTTAGCTTCCTTAAAAAGAAAACCACACATCCATATACAGTAGTGTGCACAGCTGAGATGCATATCAGCACATGTATGCAAAATCCCTCAACAGTACCAGAACCATCCTCAGCAGCATATTAGATACATCAAACTACACATGAGTGGAAACCCACAAGCTATAGTTTCATAGAGGATTACCAAGGGATACTGGCTGATGCACCACAAATTCAATGAAATCATGTTAGCATTAATGTTCTCCAGTAAACAGCATCATGGGAAAATGCATTATGCTATTTTTTTTTCTACAACTGCTTCCAGTTCACAGACTGTCAAATATGCTTTAGCAGACTAGGAGTAAGGGGTAGATTTAAATGATTCCAGCTACACAGACACAATGCATATTTCCTGACTGGATACACATTTAACTCCCAAATCTAATGCAGAGGGTGAAATGTGCAATCGGTACTCAACTGGTAGCATTTAAACTATTTCTAGCAGTGAAAGAGCATCAAATAATAAAATGCTAAGAGGTGTTTTTTTGCATGCATTTTCCCATTTATGTAATGCTCTGATTTCTACCATGCTAGCTAGGCAATGTACACGGTGCAAGTGAGCTGCGCCTCCTCTATTGGAATTCTTAATATTTTTTCTTACCAGCATAAAAAGCCAAAACATACAGAATTAATGTTCAAGTTTTGACATCTTATAGCATATATGTAATTGATATTGGTTGGTCTAATTTCAGCACATTTAATATTGTACTATTGTACTGGTTTGGGATGGAAAATGTAATATTGGTTGCAGGTTTTCTGCAGAATGTTGGTAATTCAATGGTAATAGTTGGTACTTGGGTTGCAAGGGTGTGACATTGTTCCGTGTAGGAAAGAATAGCTACATTAAGCTTGTCTGTTGTAAAGGATCCAATTATTCAATACAGACCATGCAGCAAAATGACTGCCTAATCATGCATACAGTATCATTCACTCAAGAGATCAACGCCTACCATCTGGACAAGAGTGATGGACCTTTTGTAATACTTACTGTCATCCTGCAACCCATCTCAAAGACTATCATTATTCACACTAACAGCTAAGTGTCCCATACATTGCCTGCCATAAAGATCAAAGCAGATGGCTTCATCTAGAGCGAAAATATAGTCTGAAGGCATAGCTTGATAACAAAAGGTATGGTATCATCTTTAGAAATGAATATGCTCTGCATTGCTCCATCGACAACCATTGTTTTCATGGATGGTGGCACCATAGGGGAAGGTCATTAAATGAAAATGTTGTGGTGATATATATTTGCATTACTCCTGGTATTATTGCACCATTGGATATGATTTTGAGGAAGCTCTGACACTGCAGCTAAATGCTGATTGTGTAGAATTTTGTGCATGTGCTTTTTTTAAGTTGGGAGGGAGGGTCTTTTCAAAAGTTTGTGAAAAACCTCAACTATACCTTTGAGGTAAGTCATCCATATATTAGGAAGTTACAAGAGTGCATGATGCTGAGACCCTCAAATCTTAAGGTGGAATAATGATGATACATGTCTAAACTTAGGTTAGTTACTGTTTTGTAGGAGTGCCACGTCTTATGGCACTCAGAGAATGAATAACAGAGAGTAAGTTCCGGATTTCACACAGAATTTTTTTCAAGCTGAGCTAGGGCGTGAGTGGGAGCTAACACAACCCCAGGACACAACTAATTACGCTGACATGTCCTGTTGAGTATTACGCTCACTGGGGGATGAAATCCAGAGATAAAGAGTGTAACATCGCTGAACATACTTACAGGCAGTTCATGTCCGCTGAAGCCCTTAATCTCATTGTAAAAACCACTGCAATATAATTACATAAAGGCAGCATCTTATGTTCAGATTAATTACAATAATGCTCCATGCAGCAGCAACAGATATGGCGCTGCAACATCAGCAGCAGTTTCAACAAGCAATACTGAAATTTTGCAAAAAAGCAAAATTAAAAAGTGGAGAAAATGCTTTAGTTTTTATATTAACAATGTAGAATGTGCAACAAAAATCCCAGATTATGTTTTAAAATGTAAAATGCATATGTAAACCATGATGCGACAGGATTTATTCTTGAAAGTATTTAAGTCTGTCCCTTAAAATTATTAGAATCAATTTGATTATGCTCTGATACATATCATTCTATAACAGCGCTGGCTAATCCTTTTATTTGTTAGCCTCTGGAAGGTGTTCTTCATACCATCATCAAATTGTTTGTAGGTTTTCTTCGAATTCCATCATGCATTGATCTTTGCATAAACTCTCACTACGTTTCCTGGCCCTGCTAAAGGATAGCATGGTGGCCCATAGCATGGATGTGGAAGGTTCTTTTTAAAATGTGTTATTTTACAAGACGGTTTAAATTTAAATTGTATAGCCCCAGAGAAAACTCTTCTACATATTTCAGCAGGATTTTACCTTTTATTTTTTTTTAGATTTCTGCCACAAAAGACAGATTTCCGTGTATAACTAATTGTGCTGACAAAGACCTTCAACAACAGGTTTTAGACAATTCTTCCAAATCAATGTTCATGTTTATATTTATAAATATATACAAACTTTTTTGCTTATAAGTGTCTAAAACAACACCGACTATTCTAAAGTGTTTATCCAGCCTGCTGTGTGAACTTTTCATAGTTAAAGGCTAAGCCATGAGGCTGTACTGTGCTGTGTGGTGGAAAACATTGCTTTGGCAGCTTTATTCTTCACAGTACAGCACAATTACACAAACAGACAGAAACCCAGCATTACATTCAACCTCAAGCTATTAGGCTCATGTTAATTCCTCGCTGCACATTTTCTTAAGAGGCTGCAAAAATGAAGAAAGGATCATAATAAAAGTCAACCTTGTGATTCACTGAAATGACATCAGCTAGTGGGTAGGTCATCTCTCATCATCCATTATCCTTTGACCAACTCTAAGGTCAGAGAAACCATGAAGCTCTGCTGCTCAGTTGTAATTAAATTACTGCATTGGCTGCTTTGCCGTGTTATTTTGTCTTCTTTCTGAAGCCAGCCTGTGATCATGATGGAGTTTACTGTCACACTAATGACGGCTATTTCCTTTCCTTGGTTATTTTTGTAAATGTGATGATAAATATTTCTTTAATGTTTAAGAATTAAATTGAGCTCTAATCTTTTTTTTTTTTTTTGCAGCGTAAATTTCCACATTATAATGAGATACTGAAATATTTGATTTCTCTTTGGGATTAATAATGTACTTTGGAATTGAATATGGATCATTTGTGTAAGAATTAGATAAAGTTATATAAATCAATGCCATACAGCTGATAAGAATCCCTGTTTCCTTAAAATCTCTGAAAACTTTTATCTGAGTAGCCATGGCTGAAACTGGACTAATTCAAGAAAAACATTGCCTCGTCTTTAAGTGACAACCTACTTGAGATTTTGTTGCAGACAATATCCATTTTTTTTAAATACATTTTTCTCATCTTTTTATGGATACTTCATGGTCATTCATTTTCACTGTTAACAAGGAGAATGATACTTCCTGCATGGTGGGGACGCGGGACGCATAGGAGATGAAAAAGAGTGGCTTGATCATGAAAAGAAGAGAAACAAAAGAGCTTATTTTACAGAAACAGAGTGAACAGAGATTGTTTTCCCCAGTGATAATAATTGATCTCAAAGGACAAGGATTTAAAAACATGTTGATTTCAATTCCGATCTAGTTCTTTACTTCGGCTCCTCTTTTGTGCAGGCAGCACATAATCCAGTAAATTATTTCCCCTAAGAATGTGTGTTAAAGTATGTACATCTTTAACTGGAATGTGGTTGTTTAGCCAAGCTACAAATAAAACACAGAAAAAAGTCCTGCTCTGAAAGTTCCTAGCAGCTTGTTTAGTTACACTAATATGTGATGTTATGTCAACCTCTTCAGCAGTGACATTAACCAAAACTTCAAAC